TAATTAATTGAGAATTAATTATTATTATTTAAATAATGTGATTATTTAAATTTGAATTTGAACACATCTAGATTTATCCATTTAAACTTATTTGATAAGTTGTTCAATTTAGAATTCAAATTAATTTAAGTTTGACTTAAATTCGAATTTGAATCTGAATTAAAATTGGACTACTGGATAAAGGATAAAATCTCTTCCTTCCCTAGCTGATATAGGCGCCACACACAGGGATAAAACCCTAGAGTGTGGCCGGGCACATTGTGGATAAGGGGAAGGGATTTTTGTTCCAAATTCAAAATTGGGGATAAGGATTTGATTCTATTTTGAAGTTTGACTTCTACTCTTTAAATATGAGAAAGATAGAAAATTGTAAAATCAATTTTTGACACATTATTCAGCCCTAATTGTTGTGGCCGAAATTTCTCATAGAGGAAAAAGAGAGCAAACTATTTTTCTCCAAAAATTTCACATCGTGCATGCGTTGGTGTTTGTGAAAATTCAAGTGTTTAAGAAACCTGTTTTGTCTCACGTGTGCCCACACACACGTCTATGTGGAATCAAGGAATTGACGTGGAAGACTTTGGTATTCTAAACACAAAGCTTGGAGCAAGGACTGTTCGTGGTCAAAGAAATTCAAGTTATCATCCGAGTCGGCTTCCAGGTATTTTTTTGAATCATATAAATTAATGTGATTAATTTATTCGTGCATAAATTAATATAATCTATAAAGTATCTCAAAAGTTTTATGAAAATTTTTGTTATACGCGATCCGCTGTTTCCTACCACGCTTCCGCCGCCGAATTCGATTCGGCAACCAACAATTTACAAGTTTTTGGACTGGTTTTTATGAGCTTCTCTCGCGCAGCTGATTCCACCGGTTGACCTGTCCGGTCGACCGGATCACATGGAAACCGGTCGACCTATGCGGTCGATCGGATTGCAGGCTGACCGGTCGACTGGTGTGCACACTATCGGTCGACCGGTAGTGTTGCACTACTCTGTCACCGGTCGACCGGTTGACACGGGGTTTGACCCTGATTGGCCTGAAATTGTTGTTTTGACCCCTGTTTTCGGGGAGAACCCAAATTAGCTTCATTTGGGAACTTGAGATAAATGGATTCGCATTGTTAATCCTTGAGTTGAGATTGAAAACCCTTGCAATGATATTTTGAAACATGAAAATGGATTAGGGCACACTAATTGAAAATCTTTGAACATAAATGAGATTTGGATTTCTTTAGGAATGAGAATTGATCCTAAAGTGTTGTCTTGCATCAGTGATCGCTGATGATTCAGACTGAAGGGGCTTGAGGAAGCGGAAGCCGGAAAAGGCAACGCTAGTCCCAGGTTTGATAGTGCGAGGTAGGATTTCTGTCC